TATCACAATTTCTTACTTGATTATTTAAATGTGATATGGTATACACTTTGGAGCGGATTTCATAAGACCTATTCAAACCACACACTGGATTTCTTACCCCCTCCCACCCTTGTGATGGGGATGTTGATCTTTGTCTGCCATATTAGCCCGCACTCCTCTTCCCATAGGTGTATCAAAGTCTCCCTCTTGCCCCATAGGATCCGTCTCCTAGCTGCCTGGTTCAGGCATTTCACTCGACTACGGACAACCTATCCGTGAAATTAAAGGCATTATGTTCTATACTCTGACTCAAGCCTTTAATAGCACGCATACACAAGCCTCACTGAGCAAGCCCCTAAAGTCTGCATTATAAAGCTAGAGGGGGACTAACTTGAGGCTATAGATCCCCTTATCACCGTTCGACATGTGCACCGTTTAAGTCTTATGGTCAAGCCTTTGCTTCACGAACCACGCCTATGATAAAACACGTCAACCGTTAACTAACCAGCTTTAATCACCACCGCATCTATCTTACCTTTATCCATAAGGCCTAGTCTCACGTCCTATGGTATAGTGTCTTGTGAGCCAACCCACAAATGTTGTGGTTCTACTTGTGTTGATTAGGCTCACAGTGCGCCCACAGTGAATACCCTAGGACAGAAGGGGAAATGTTAAAAATATTTACGAGTCAATTGGCCAAAGGATCGACTTCACTTGTCTCTGACACATTGTGTTGTGGTGCTAAGTTTGGCAAGGCCCACTGACGATGCCGTCAAGATGTCTGGAAATGTACCAAGTCCATGCTCCGACTCTGGAAATTATCATGCATACTATGGACTCCGGACAAGGCGAGTTCCTCTAGATCTACCAGCAAAAACAAGGTCAAACAACTAATAAGTATTTATAGTTTCTAACTTATTCGAAAAATTGATTTTTAGATTTAGATGTGGCGACTACTCTGTATATCTATCGTCTGCAAAAACTATTTTCTTTTATATGTCGATATTTATTTTTAATATTATTAATATTTATTTTTATGTTTAAACTTTAAAACAACGCACTTACTGGATCAGCATAGAGCTTGACGATTCGGTAGCGCTCCAAAAGCTGAGACATAGAGTAATCAATATGTTCCATGGCTCCACCAAAGATGTCTGCTAAGATGCTTAGAAGTTCTTTCATTTCAGATAATGTAGAAGGAGTTTTGAGGAGAACACTCCGCTTGTACTATTTGTAAACGAGAAGAAGGTAACAGAGTAAATGGAGGGGAACGTTGAAAATAAACTTAGATATGTAGGCTAATATGTTGTGTCCTCTATTTTATTCGCGAACTCCTTTCGACGCATAAAAGTCGTCGGACCTCGGGTTCGCAACTTAATCGTTACATCCATCTGATCCGACGTCCTCTGCTATAGTAGTTATTACAAGTCCCAGCATCTAACCGTGGACTTGGTAACTTCCCAGACGTTTCGCCGGCATTGTAGTCGATGTCGTCAGTGCGTCTTGCCAGTCTCAGCAACAAGCTAAAACTTGTCAAAGAACAACTTTCCGCCGAAACGGTTGTGCTATCGCTCCACTTTATATCCTGGCCCATTTATTTACTATCTACCCTCTAATCTAAATCTCAGCCTATCACAATTTCTTAATTATTTATATTCCAAACATTCCTTAATGAGGGGTGTACCCTTTTTGGCGAGTTTAATGTGGCGTATTAACACCTACGGTTTATCTTGACCCTACTCACTCTCGATTTTCAAATACGACTCGGAACGCGTAATTGTCAATTTTCAGTCCCGGCACAACTAAAGGCTAAAGATGGGAATGTGAAGAAGCATGATTATTAGAAACCTATGTTAAAAGAACGTAGAATTCTGGAAGAAAGAGTAGGACAAATTGACCCGGATATGCCAAGGCAAAGGATACTCGAGATGAAGCGAAGTTATGCTTGTTATGACAATCGACTACATTACTTATTTTTCGTTCATTAGCAGAGTTTCGAGACTAAGTCAATTATATGAGATGTATTCACCCTGTTTCGTATAAGGTGATGAAGGAGTGGTATAGTTAGTTCTACTCATATCGTTGTGAGAAAATTCAACTAACATCCTACATCACCTTTAACGAGATAGGGTGAATACATCTA